ACCACATAGACACGAGATGCATTCTTTCGCAGATCCTTTATTTCCATTTTGGAGTTGGAAAAACCAAAGCTTTTAGAATCAACATGCTCCTAAAGTAAAGAGAGACAACTTTTTTATCTCCGTCAAATAACGCCCCGAGCAACTAAAAGTTTGGCCAAACAACTCGACTTTCTAAAGCAAACTCTTGAAAAACAGTTTCTGTTGCTACTCAAAAACACACTTTTTGGCTTACCAGAAGTTTGGCCAAACACCTCACCTTTCTTCAAAAAACAACACTCTTAAAAAGCAGTTTCTGCAACTTACTCAAAAAACACTTTTTTTCTCTCTAACAAGCAGTTTCTGCTACTTACTCAATTCTCTAAAATAAGCATTTCTTTTACCTAATATTTATAAAAACACATTGGCTTCCTAGAAGTTTGGCCAAACACCTCAACTTTCTTAAGAAAAATTCCTAAAAAAAAGTTCCACTACTACTCAAAAACACTTTTTTTTCTTCAAAAAGTTTGATTAAACACCTCAATTCTCCAAAATAAGTACACTTTTCAGCTTTCTAAAAGTTTGGCCAAACACGCTATTATAAAGCCTGTCCACCCACTACCAACAGCAGAGAAACACTGTTAAAACCTATTTGAATTCCGATCAATACATAGAATTTCATCCAATTTCGTAAAAATGAACTACAGTAACCACAAAAATTCAAAAAAATGGATCCACAAATAGCTCGAGCTGAAACTAAAAAATTTAGATAGTAAATCAAACATCCAGCAATAAATCACCTGTATTATGAATTCAGATCGCTAATTTTAAGTACAAATACAAGCAAAAAATGGTAATTAATAGCTCAAAATACCAACAAAAGGGACAGGAAGAACAGATTTACCTAAAAAATACTTCAAATTCAAAGCTTATCAAGTTGAGAAATTGCTCAGAATTTGTGCATTTCGATTATTAATTTTTTGTCAAATGAATCTGAGTGGCGTTCCTTTTTTTGAGTTTGTTATATGAAAAGTTCATTTTACGTTTAATAATAGTGTTCTTGAAGCACGTGAGCCACGCGTTGAATATGGATAGATGGTAATTCCACCATTCCTTTTTCTCCTCTTGTTGGCGGAGGCGTAGCTAGAAATTTTACAAAGAATGTCTAAATTTTTAATTATAAATTTTTTCTTAAAAAATGATGATTTAAATTACCAAAACAAATAATCAAGTTAAGCAATATTTTTAATAAAATTACAAGTGTATAATTCAAAACTAACATAAAGACAAAATAAATTACTATTGAAAACATAATTTAAATATATTATTACAATTGTACTCGACGAGATTTCATATAATGAAACGTTTTTATAACTGAAGTTCTTTTTGCTGGAGCAACTTCTAGAGTATTTATATCAGTGCTTTGTTTTTTAGAAGAATGTGACAATATCTCTAATTGATCTACCGTTGTTTCTTTATTTGGTTCACTTAGAGAAGTCGAACTCTTTTTTGGTACTCTATTATAATAATTCCTCATATCCATTGAAACTTGAACCTAAAATATTAAGTTGGTTATTTTTGTTATAAAATAAGAGAAAGAGAAGAAAAAATAGAGAGATAATTATTGAGATTCTATTCTTAATAATATTGTGATATGATTTGGATAAATGAGTTCCTATTTATAGAGAAAGAAAACTTTGTTCCATAAGGGAAAAGTATTAAAATTTAAGGAAATCTTATTCCATAAGGAAAAGGTATTAAAATTTAAGGAAATAATTCAATTTTAATTGAAAAAAATCCACAAGAAAAAGTATTAAATTCAAGGAAATCTTATTCTACAAGGAAAATGTATTAAAAT